TGACCTCGTGATCCACCCGCCTCGGCCTCCCAAAGTGCTGGGATTACAGGCTTGAGCCACCGCGCCCGGCCTTATATACTGTATTCTTACAACAAAGCTTAAAAAAAAACTTTTAAGAAAATAAATGGAAGTGGATCATCATAAAGTGACCATAAAGCGGATCATGATAAAGGTCTTCATCCTCATTGTTTTCACACCGAATAGACTTGAGAAGAGGAAGAGGAGGGTGTCTCAGGGACGGCAGAGGTAGAAAAGGTAAGAGAGGTGGAAGGGGAGGCAGGGGAGGAAGGCACACTTGGTATAAATTTACAGAAATATGTTATAATTTGTCTCACTTTTTTTGCTTTTTCTATTTTTTAGAAACAGGGAATCACTCTATCACCCAGGCTGGAATGCAGTGGCATGATCACAGCTCACTGCAGCCTCGAACTACTGGGGTCAAGTGATCCTCCTGCCTCAGCCTCCTGGGTAGCTGAGACTACCAGCCCAGTCTGATCTTGAACTCCTGACCTCAAGTGATCCTCCTGCCTTGGCCTCCCAAGTGCTGGGATTACAGGCATGAGCCGCCACACTCAGGCTTGCTTTTTCATTTCTCTAAAAATGTTTCCATATGGTACCAATTCTTCTTCCACCATTTGCTTTGGTTTCAGTGCCCGTATCATAGAAGGGTCCAAGTCTAAAATAACTCAAAAGCAGTCTCAAATAATCTGAACCCTTCTGCCAGATTGCCTGACATCAATGTTTTCTAGCACTGTTTCTTTTACATCTTCCTTGTCATCTGGCACTGGCTCAGAAGGACTCATCTCCATCAAGTCATCCTTAGTTATTTCCTCTGATGTGGTGGTGTCTCTGAGTTCCTGAATTTCTATAAGATCCCTATCTCGAAATACTTCATCCTCACCTTCTTTTTTTGCCATATCCACAATCTCTTTCATGATTTCCTTGAATGGCTCTGTCACAGATCCTATGAAGTCACGCACAATTTCTGGACACAGTTTTCTTCAGCAGGAATTTATTGTTTTGGGCTTGATGGCTTTCACAACTTTTTCTTTTGAGTCAGGATTTCACTCTGTTGCCCAGCCTGGAGTGCAGTGGCATGATCACAGCTCACTGCAGCCTTGACCCTCTTGAGTACCTGGAACTACAGGTACGCAAGACCATGCCCAGCTAATTTTTGTATCTTTTCTGGAAATGTGGTTTCACTACATTGCCCAGATTGATCTCTAACTCCCAGGTTCAAGTGATCTGCCCACCTTGGTCTCCCAAAGTGCTGGGATTACAGGCATGAGCCACTGCACCTGACCCACAACTTTTTCTGTAACAACTACAGCATCGTCTTTTTTTTTTTTTTTTTTTGAGATGGAGTCTCACTCTGTCGCCCAGGCTGGAGTGCAGTGAAGCAATCTCGGCTCACTGCAACCTTCACCTCCCAGGTTCAAATGATTCTCCTGCCCAAGTAGCTGGGATTATAGGCACGTACCACCATACCCGGCTAATTTTTGTATTTTTAGTAGAGACAGTGTTTCACCATGTTGGCCAGGCTGGTCTCGAACTCCACACCTCAGGTAATCTGCCCACCTCGGCCTCCCAAAGTGCTGAGATTACAGGCGTGAGACACTGCGCCCAGCCAACTATGGCATCTTCAGTGGAGGAATCCTTCCAGACATTCATGATGTTCTATCGGTATCTTCTGCCACAGCACTTAAAACCCTTTGCATAGAGTACCCTGTGCAATGAGTGTTAAAGGTCCTTATGACTCCCTGATCTAGGTTGTATCTGAGGGAAAGTAGACCACTTTGACACCTTTGGTGTTGAACTCATGAGGTTCTGGGTGGCCAGGGGCACTGACCAATATCAAAAGACCTTTAAAAGGCAGTCCCTTACTGGCAAGGTACTTCCTGACTTCAGAGACAAAGCACTGATGAAATCAATCCAGAAAAAAAGGTTCTCATTATACATCCCTTCTTGCTGTACAACCAAAAGACTGCAGCTTTATAGATAAAGGTAGTCCTATTAACCCAATTGCATTTGCACAAAACAAGAGAGTCGGCCTACCCCTGCTTGCCTTAAATTCTGGTTCTTACTTCTCTTCCTTATAATAAATGTCCTTTGTGACATTTTTTCCCCCCAGAAAAAGGCACTTTCATTTTCATTAAAAACCTGTTCAGCCGGGCGCAGTGGCTCAAGCCTGTAATCCCAGCACTTTGGGAGGCCGAGGCGGGTGGATCACGAGGTCAAGAGATCAAGACCATCTTGGTCAACATGGTGAAACCCCGTCTCTACTAAAAATACAAAAAAAATTAGCTGGGCATGGTGGTGCGTGCCTGTAATCCCAGCTACACAGGAGGCTGAGGCAGGAGAATTGCCTGAACCCAGGAGGCGGAGGTTGCGGTGAGCCAAGATCGCGCCATTGCACTCCAGCCTGGGTAACAAGAGCGAAACTCCGTCTCAAAAAAAAAAAAAAATTGAAAAATAAGGCCGGGCGTGGTGGCTCACACCTGTAATCCTTTGGGAGGCTGAGGTGGGCGGATCACTTGAGGTCAGGAGTTCAAGATCAGCCTGGCCATCATGGTGAAGCCCCATCTTTAAAAACTAAAAAAAAAGAAAAAGAAAAAAATTAGCTGGGCATGGTGGCACTTATCTGTAATCCCAGCTACTCAGGAGGCTGAGGTAGAAGAATCATTTGAACTTGGGAGGTGGAGGTTGCAGTGAGCCGAGACTGTGGCACTGTACTCCAGCCTGGGCACAGAGCCAGACCCTGTCTTTAAAAAAAAGACACACACACAAAAAAAGGGATACTAATCAGTCAAAAGAACTGCAGATTTGAGTCTCTCTATCTACTCTAACAGTATCACTTTAAAAACACAAAGACAAATGTTCCACTGCAAACTGGCAACTGAAAGGCCCACAAGGTTTCCATTAAAAATTCCACTTACAGGCTGGGCGCGGTGGCTCAAGCCTGTAATCCCAGCACTTTGGGAGGCCGAGGCGGGTGGATCACGAGGTCAAGAGATCGAGACCATCCTGGTCAACACGGTGAAACCTCGTCTCTACTAAAAATACAAAACATTTGCTGGGCAAGGTGGCGCGTGCCTGTAATCCCAGCTACTCAGGAAGTTGAGGCAGAATTGCCTGAACCCAGGAGGCGGAGGTTGCGGTGAGCCGAGATCGCGCCATTGCACTCCAGCCTGGGTAACATGAATGAAACTCCGTCTCAAAAAAAAAAAAAAATTCCATTTATTCAAGGAAGCAAAGTCCCTTTAACAAAAAGTAATTGGTGGCCAGGTGTGGTGGCTCACGCCTGACATCCCAACACTTTGGGAGGCTGAGGCAGGCAGATTCACATGAGGCTAGGAGTTCGAGACTAGCCTGGCCAACATGGTGAAACCTTGCCTCTACTAAAAATACAAAAATTAGCTGGGCATGGTTGTGCACACGTGTAATCCCAGCTACTTGGGAGGTTGAGGTACAAGAATTGCTTGAACCCAGGAGGTAGAGGCTATAGTGAGCTAGGATCACGCCACTGCACTCCACCCTGGGTGACATAGTGAGACTCCATCTCAAAAAAAGAAAAAAGAAAAAGTAATGGGAGAAACATTTGAAAGACCTCTTTGTTCCTGGCATCTCACCTATCAGGAATTTAAAGTATTTATTTATAATTCCCATGGCCTAGTCATTTGAATAGGTTTAATAAAATATTTCCCTCTGAAATGCTTTGTTTCATATTTTGGTTTTTGCTTGTGTGTTTTCGTTTTTACAAACAGCAGAATAGGTGGTCCCCCTCACTTATCCCACCTAGCTATCTAATTCATTCCCAGATCATTGGATGGAAGTTCCTTTCTTTTCATGTTACCTCTAAGGTAGAAGCGGGGACAGCAGAACCCATGAACAAAGCTCTACTGACCTAAACAGCTACTTCCTGCCTCACGAGAGAACCAGATGCAAATAAATCCAACATAGTATGGGCTGAGAGTGGGGAAGATGCTGGGGTGCCTGAGAAGAGCAGGACAGAGGCTTCTACCTCAGATGCAATGTCTCATATAGCATTCATTTAAGGTTGGCCACCATGGGAAGATTATGAGGGATTTCAAGTCCCTGAAACACCCCAAAGTTCTCTACGCTTTTTTTATTTGTAGCATACACAGGTATTTTGACAAGGGATGTATTACCTAGCCTCAGAACCAATAAGCATCACAAATTTCTGGCCCAAGTTAAATATAGACTGTCTCGATACAAAGTCAATCCAGACAGCTGTGTTTAACAAGTCAGCTTCCAGGCATGACTGGCACATGAAGTACCACCTGATCACAAAGGAATAGGTACCACTAGGAGGACAGCAGATAGGCTAAAGCATGCTGATCCCACAAAGTCTCAGCATTTTGATGAATATTTCCTAAGAGACTACAACACTGACCAAAAGAGGAAATTATCACCATGCTGCTTGGGAGAAAGTGACTATCAAGCAAAAAAATTCAGAACAGAACAGTTACTGATCAACACTAAATTCTTCTCTGTATATATGATTTAACAAAGTATCTCTAGATGATAAATTTAATTACAAACAAAGCTTGTGATTTGCCTAATGGTCCTAGGTTCTTTCTTCCTTTTACCTGAAGAGTTTTACTAGTTCAATTCTTGGGAGCCTCTTCAACGGTTTTGTTCAGGCCCTCCTATTTAGGAGACAAAACGCTGCTGACCAGACTTTTAAACGGAACTTTTACTCTCCCTTCCCTACCCCCTCCATTTCTTCTAGTGACTGAAACCAGTGCCCATATCAATATTCAACTGAGTCTAAGAGAATTTTTCCCCAATCATAGTTCCATTCCTCCAAATCCCTTCCACAAAAAGTCAGACAGCAAAGGTAGAGCAAGGCAAGGGGGAAACAAGTCTCTCTTACCAGCATCTCTTACCTCTGTAGTGCTCCATTCTAGTGTGGTGGGTGATACCCTGTGATCGGAAACTGAGGCTCAGGATGTAACGAGGATCAGAACTGTCTCGTACCAGGAAAGAACCATCTGGTTTCCCTTTCAGCTTCATCTCTGCATCTTCCCAATTCATTGGCCCCCAATACCAACCACACTATCAAAGACAAGAAGCACTCCACTAGTTATCAGGACAGAGAAATGTCAAAGTTTTCAGCACAATCTATCTTATCATGGGAGAACGCTCTGCATTATTCAAAACATTTCAATAGGTAAAAGACACGAGCATCTCAACCATTAGCAATGAACATCAGGCTCGCTATACTTTTAGCCCTCCAAAGTAACAGAATAATAATTCTGGCTGGACTTGGTGTCTCACACCTGTAATCCAAGCAACTTTGGGAGGATGAGGTGGGTGAAGCACTTGAGATCAGGTGCTCAAGAGTAGCCTGGACAACATGGTAAAACCCCATCTCTACTAAAAATACAAAAATTAGCCAGGTGTGGTGGCACACACCTGTAATCCCAGCTACACAGGAGGCTGAAGCAAGAGAATCGGTTGAACTAGGAGGTGGAGGTTGCAATGAGCCTGGATAGCGCCACTGCACTCCAGCCTGGGTGACACAGTGAGACTCTGCCTCAAAAACAAAAAACGGCTAGGCACAGTAGTTCACGCCTGTAATCCCAGCACTTTGGGAGGCCGAGGCGGGTAGATCATCTGAGGTCAGGAGTTCAAGACCAGCCTGGCCAACATGGTGAAACCTTGTCTCTACTAAAAATACAAAAATTAGCTGGGTATGGTGGCACATGCCTGTAATCCCAGGTACTCAGGAGGCTGAGGCAGAAGAACTGCCTGAACCCAGGAGGCGGAGGTTGCAGTAAGCCAAGATCGCACCATTGCACTCCAGCCTGGGCAACAAGAGCGAAACTCAGTCTCAAAAACAAAACAAAACAACAACAACAACAAAAATACTAATTCTACAATTCCGTTACCAAAGACCCTACCAAGAAATGAAGAGGAAATTGGGTCAGTTAATCTTTCAAAATCAGCTTTGACTATGTAAACATTTCTCCTACAGCCTTTATCATGTCAAAATTTTTTCCCCAAATTCAATTTTATTACATTTCATCGAATTAATAGCAGTAATACACTGTTTTTGTCACTGTATATAGGAAGCAAGTAAACTACTCTTCCTCTAAAAACAATAAATAGGGGCTGGGCGTGGTGGCTTATGCCTATAATCCTAGAGCTTCGGGAGGCAGAGGCAGGAGGATCATGTTGAGCCCAGGAGTTCATGACCAGCCTGGGAAATAGCAAGACCAGTCTCTACAAAAAATATAAATAAATTTTAGCTGGGTATAGTCGTGCATGCCTGTAGCCCTAGCTACTCAGGAGGCTGAGATAGAAGAATCCTTTGAGCCCAGGAGTTTGAGGCTGCAGTGAGTTATGATTATGCCACTACACCCGAGCCTGGGCAACAAAGCAAGACCCTGTCTCTAAAAATAAATAAACGAATAAATTAAGGAGTACCCGGGCACAGAATTTAGCTAATGGGAGAAGTAAGCTGCTAGTCCTTAGGCACCACCTACCTTCTCCAACTCTCGAAGGCTGGCTGCAAAGCTGCTAGAGTCAGGTCGGTAGAGGGGACATTGGAGGTGCTGCGGGGGTTGGCTGTGCAGGGATTCGGCTGCTCGGATGGGGGCAATCCGGGGAAATGCATCTGCAGGGCAAAAGAGTGGTGGTCACTTGTATACCCTCATTGCTCTCAACCACAGATAAACCCTCCCCAAAAAACAGAGATGCTAACTGAAGAGGGCAAGGCATTAGAAGCTAAGCTGGAAAGGGTAGAAGCCAAAGCAGTGGGAAAGAGCTGGATGGGCTGGAACAAAAAGCTGTGTGGGCTCATGTAGGCTGTGAAGGATGGGTGGGGGCACTGAACCCCAGGAAAGGGGGAGGGGAGCTGCTCACTAACCTGACTAAGGTGACTACTTCAGTGGCTTCACCAGCCTAGAGCAATTCCAACTTCTCCCACCTTGAAGTGAAGTGCCGATAGGCAGCCTTGGAAATAGTGACTCGCTTACTTGCCCAGGAAGACTAATGATTTTGCCAGGCAAGTAGAAAAGACTGCTGATTTCGTTCATTTTATTCCTTGGGTACTAGAAGCTGGCAAAGCAGGTATGGGCTACTAAATGCTTGGTAATTATTTACAAGGCTGCAGCAAATACCAAAAGCTTAGAAAACCCACAGAACCTTGAAAACCAGCAACTTATTAAACCTCACTATCCTGAAATTAAGGCAGTTTCTTAAGTGACATCTACTCAAGGATTGCAAAACAGTCTCAGCAGCGAAGAGATGAAAAATTCAGTAGTCTTTTATCCCTAACAAAAATCAGATTGACCTCCATAAAGAAAACGGGTTAGGAAAACCAGTTCTTGGCCTCATTTCCAAGGAGTCTGGTCCAGCCAAGGGGAAGAGATTTAAACTTTCTACTAAGCTATTATTTCCATAAATAGATTTCTCCCATCCTTCTATGGTACAAAGTATACTTTGTACTCCCAACTCTTACAAATCTTGCCTCTAAACTAAGCTAACCTGGGGCATGGGGTGGAGGAGGCGGAGGTAGGGGGAAAGACTGCAAGGAAGACCCCATCGGAGCCACAAGGACAGATGTAGGCAGCGTCCCACTGATATCATCTAGAAAAGAGAACAAAAGCAAGAGGTTCAGAAAATGTGAGCACAGAATGAGCACGGTGAAGGCAGAGGAGAGGGAGAAGGACTATCAGGCTGCCCTCTGGGGCAAGATGGCCCAACCTTCACCCAGTCTTTTTGCACAGACTGCAACAACCATCTTACTCTGGTTTGCTTGTGGAAAGCAGGGTAGTAGGGATATTTCTAATGCAGCCCAACAGCAGCGGGTTCAAGGCAAGATAAATGTAAATCTAATTAATATATGCACAGTAAGTATTACGGCATGCAGGTGAGACCCATTTAATTCTTTAGGGAGATGACAGGGTACTGAGAAAGACCTAGGAGATAACTGAGTCATCATCAGAAACCCAGAAGGGTGGTCAGCTCCCAGCAAAGAACAAGTCCCCGGAGCTCACCCTCCCACTAGGCAAGAAGGTGAAGAGGGGAAGAAACTATACCTAGGAGGCTGAGGCTTCTTCTCGGAGGAGGAGGGGGAGTTGGAGGGTGTGGAGAGGTCAGGCCCCGCTGAGAAATGTCCACATCCACAAGCGACACAGTCTCACCTGAGGGATTCATGGAGCAAGCAAGTTACAGAAGCACCTTGCCCAAAGCTGACGCAGAAAGCAAAGGGAAGCAAAGGGCAAGCAGGCGAGGCTGGGGGTCTTCTGCTCTCAAAAAGCTCAAAACCTAATGCCCCCAGAGCTAAAATCATCCCGAACACCAGGAAGTCGATTTTTAAATTCTATCATTCCTTTGCCCTGTTAAGGGTCAAGGATTCTTTAGGACAAAACCAAGGGACAGTAGAAAACCCATTTAATTCTGGTTCTGCCACTGACTTACAATCTAACCTTGAACAAGGGGTCTTCCTTATCCAATGGAACCCACGTCATTTATTTTTTGAGAACTATGTATCAATTCCCGCCTTAGGAAACAAGGCAAGTGGCTTGTTATTTGCCCAAACAGGAATGGAAAGCAAGGCCCAGAAAACCTAAGAACTGCACGGTAAGCTGAATGCAGATAAAGTTCCCAGTGTTTTTTTTTTTTTTTTTTTTTTTTTTTTTTTTTTTTGCTCTGTGGCCCAGGCTGGAGTGTGGTGGTGCAATCTCGG